GAATCATTGAATCCTAAGATTGAATCATTGAATCCTAAGATTGAATAATTGAATCCTAAGATTGAATCGTTGAATCCCAAAATTCGATAATTGAATCCTAAGATTAAATCTTTTAATCCTAAAATTGAATCATTAAATCCTAAGATTGAATCATTGAATCCTAAGATTGAATAATTGAATCCTAAGATTGAATCGTTGAATCCCAAAATTCGATAATTGAATCCTAAAATTAAATCTTTTAATCCTAAAATTGAATCATTGAATCCTAAGATTGAATCATTGAATCCTAAGATTGAATAATTGAATCCTAAGATTGAATCGTTGAATCCCAAAATTCGATAATTGAATCCTAAGATTAAATCTTTTAATCCTAAAATTGAATCATTGAATCCTAAGATTGAATCATTGAATCCTAAGATTGAATCATCGAATCCTAAAATTGAATCATTGAATTAATCTTAAGATTGAATCATTGAATCCTAAGATTGAATCATCGAATCCTAAGATTGAATCATTGAATCCTAAATTGAATCATTGAATACTAAGATTGAATATTGAATGTTAAAATTGAATCATTGAATCCTAAATTGAATAGTTGAATCCTAAAATTGAATGATTGAATCCTAAATTGAATCATTGAATCCTAAATTGAATCATTGAATCCTAAGATTGAATATTGAATCTTAAAATTGAATCATTGAATCTTCTTGGGGGAGTTCGGAGGAGTTTAGGATTTTTGTGGCATCTCACTCGAATGAATAATATTTGATGGGTAAAGTAGATGGAAATTGTCGAGTGGAAATTTATATACATTTAGTAGACCTATAAACTGGTCGGAACAGAAGCGAAAAATGTAACTTTTACGTCCCTGGCAGGAATTGAACCTGCAGTCCTTCGATTCTGGTGCAACGCTCTAACCAACTGAGCTACAAGGCCAATCATCGAAAGTTGCACCGGAATTGCAGGGCCGCTGTTCAATTCCTGGCAGGGACCTGAAAGTTGCATTTTTCGCTTCGGTTCCTGGTTAGGTCTAATAAATGTATATAAATTTCCACTCGATAATTTCCATCTACAAGACCCTTCAAATATTACTCATATAAACAGCTTCTCAAAACAAACTTCAAGAATTTCAGTTTCCTTAAATTTTTACATTAATATTAACCCAATATGATCACCAGCACTCACCCTGACGACTTGAAATCATCTGGGATTAACGCCGGTTAGACAAAGTAAAACACACAATGCAACTTAATGGGTAAATTGTTCATTATTCTCACCTCTACTGCCAATCGACACTCGGGACAGTTGATAGTATTGGACTTTGCATTCTTGGCCAGTTTTACAATGCATACATGACAATATGAATGAAGACAAGGTAAAACTTTGGGATCTTTAAATGGTTCCAAACAAACAGAGCAAGTCAAATGTTCCTCAAATTTATATCGAGGTGCTTCAGCCATTGTAACTACACCTAAAAACACAATTTAATAATAGCATCATTTCAAATCTGCAACATTGACACTTTCTAAATATTTGTAACTATATATAGGGCTAGATCGAGGTCTACTAAAATTAAGACCCTTTCATTAACAGCTACTAGACAACAGTGTGATAAATGTACAAATTAAAAGTGTTTCTTGTGGCATTAACAAGTCAAAAATGCCATAAATAATCAATTTAGAAATTAGCTAAACTATTATTACATATTAATATAAAAATATGCATAAAGTAAAGAAGCTTGGGGATCTAAATTCAAAAGAGCTAAATTACATCATTGGCCAAGAGGAACGAATATATTCGGTAATTTGCTGAATCGAATGCAGCCTTCGGCTGAATTTCTACACGTTTTACCAACTTTTCCTCTTTTTAAAAGGTTTTACCAATATATATTTATATATACAGTATACACGTACTATACAATAAATAACTGTTGACTTACATGACTTTAATTAATAACATAATTTCAGATAAAGGGGATGGACTAGAGGCAGGTTTTCAAGATGGCCGCCACTTTTTAAGATCATTAAAACGTAAAAGAATCAACATCCAGCCACTTGCAACAATACTAAATCTTATCCTTACCCCACACCTAACTCTAATCCTAACCACCACACTAATCCTAAATTCCTAATACTAACGCAAACTCTTATTTCAATTTTTGAACCATCTCGTAAACTACATCCTGTCCAACCCTTTTAGACACTACCATCCTCGTACCCAGGGTCTTTTTTGGCCGTGGCACCAGAGTCAATCTCGAACCCTGAGCCTGAGAGGCAAGCCTCCACAGAGGATTGCGGGCTCAGGGTTCGAGATTGCCTCGACCTTTGAATCTCGACCCTCGACGGTATGACACACGATAATCACCAAATATACCGGCTTTAAATTTTTTAATCACAGGGGGTCAACATACCGGCCTATATTAATCAACTGACGAAGAAAATATCATAAATGCACTAGCTAGAATACCCTGTTGTGTAAGACTAATAGCTACATTAAAAGATATCAATACCAGGGTGCGATAATTCAATATTTTTAGCCGTACCTGACTGGTACTCCGACAACGTTTGCCGCGTACCTGATCTGGTACAAACTTTAAGAGTCAAGACGTACCTATAAGACTACTTCCTACTCATGTGTTTTTATACCTACGTATAGTTTACTGGTCCAAAACCAAAAGATGTATGGGCAATTTTGTACAAATGAATCTTTCATTATGGTATTTGTACAACATAATATAACAGTTTTCAAAGCGTCGACGTTGTGATACGAATGCCATCGCTCATTTACAGTGGATTTACCGAGGGTGCTAACATTCTGACCTCAGCTACATACAGTGTAGTTTTCCTCATTGGGCCTAAAAAACCTGTGCCCGCTGTGGTTCCGGTTTCATATCGCGAAAAAATTAGGGGAGGTAGGTGGGAAAATGGTTTTGGCGTTTTTTTGCTGGGCAAATTTCTGTAGAGTCCCGACATCAATATTAACTAGAGATGCGTAGTTCTTACGGACGATTTTAGGCAATTTGGTTCAATAATTATTGTGACAACAGACGCCATTTTGGCTGGCTGTACGAGCAGCCCGCAACCACCCGGAGAAAATATGGTCGCACGGTCAATCGTGTTGAACAAAATAATTGGGTCGGCAGAAAAAAATAGGGTTGGTCGGGAACCGGAACCACAGGTATTTTTTTAGGTCTTGGTATAGCATTGACAATTAAGCCCAGGTCACACCACACAACGATAACGATACGATAACTTGTAAACACGCGATGATTGGAAAAAAAATATGTTGGTGTCCACACTACAACGAAAACGATAAAATTATCGGCGTTTGACGATAACGATTTTAAAATCGCTCACCCGAGCGATTTTTTTTCAGTTGGACGATGACGATAAATTTTTTGATCAAGCGCAAGAACCTTTTGCCTTTTTTTTATCCCAAAATATATCGGATGCGTGGAATTTTACATGTACAGCTAAAGTTCTTCACGGTTTTGAATACTTTGGCAGGTTTGCTAGTTATTGCTAGAAGGAAATGTAAGTACGCGAATAGTAAATTTCCGCGTACCTACGTGATACTTGCCTATAAACAAAAAAGTACCAGACCATAAATTTGGCGTACCTCCGGTACGTTGGTACGCGATTTATCACACCCTGGGTACAGTACTGTCATTGTAGGCGACGGTTCCCCATGCTTTTGTCACATGTACACAGTCATTAATTCTTGGCAACGTTTGGTGTGATATGACATGTACAGTTTGCAGTATTTCATTAAGTCTAATTCTAAATTGTTTAGCCACTAAATTCAAAGAGAACCAGATATGAATCTGAAACAAAGAGTAGGCTTCGTATAATTTTTCCAGACATCAGCGAAAATGCTATTGAGTTGGCAGCTACTAGAAGTAAAAGCCTTGATGAAGCAGTTGATGCCATGCTTGCTGGAAATTCAGACACGGATGAAGGTACTGTAGTTTTTTGTGTTTCAATTAATTTGTTACCTGGCAGTACTTTTCCACTGACAAGTAAATTTGTCTGGCATTACTGTACTGTACTGTACTGTACTGTACTGTACTGTACTGTACTGTACTGTACTGTAGTTAATGTTGTTAAAGCATGTGGCTATCTTTTATGTGTACAGCAAACCTTAAGAAATGGTAGTCCATGTAATGCTGTGAGTGTCACCTTTCTACCTAGGGGGAGGGGTCATAGGACATGCCCAGAAAATGTTGATATTTAGAGTGATTTTAGACCCTCTGAAATGCCATTTTTTAGACATATTTCTGGAATGTTATTTTGAAGACATTGAGAACCCCCCCCCCCCGCATATTTCTATGTGTGCTATAATGTTTTTATAATTTCTGAAAGAACTTAAATAACATTATTTTGAAAAATATTACTTGTGGTTCATTGATTTTAATTTAATGATTTATTTTAGTTGTAATTGAGACAAGTGTGTATGAGAACCAGAGTGACGATGAGGACAGTATAGATGAAGATAGCCCACTCTTAGATACAGACACCTGGAGGAAAATGAGTGTTGTGCAGAAAATGAACAGATTAAAATCTGTTAATGTCACAGGTCAGCTATGTAAGTTGACTGTCGATCAGGATGATATCCTGAGCGATGCTGTGGCATTCTATAAAAACCCATCATTTGACCCCGAAAGGCCTTTTCGTGTTTCATTTCGTGGTCAACCAGCCATTGACACAGGAGGAGTTCTACGTGTGTTTTTTTCCGCTGTGAAAGAAAAGTTCTGTGCTGCAGAACTATTTAGTATTTTTGAAGGTCCGCATAGCAGATTGTTGTTCAGGTATGATCAATCTTGTCTGGCAGCTGGAATTCCAGAGATTTTAGGAAAATTGGTGGCACAAAGTCTCGTACACGGTTGCGGTGGATTCCCATATTTGGCGCCTTCGCATTACTATTACATAGCAACTACGGACATACAGAGAGCATCAGCTTATGCTTCCATATACGATGTGTACGACACAGAAAAACGTGACATGCTGGACAAGGTACAGTACAGCATGTTGTCTATTAGATTTATAAATTACTGCGATAACACGTTGGAAGTTGACAAAATTGTTTGGAAGTTGACAGTCTGTGTAGTCAATAGTCATGTACATTACGGATGCTTGTGTGCCAATAACGGGTGGCATATGGAATTTGTTTGCACTCTCCTGTGTTGCAATATAATTCTTAATACTTCCCCCTTCGACATGCACGGTTCACGCAATGTAATTCAATGTTCTATTAACAATATGACAATGTATAATCTGAAGTCAATGGTCCAAATAATAGTTTGAAGGTTGGTTATTGTTTCCAGGGCCACTGATGGGTGGTGGGGGAAGGCAAATTACCAACGCTTAAAATTAGGCAGAGCCTGTCAAAATGTAGGAGTTGATATTAATCCGAGTATTTTCTTAACCTAGGGCACGACAAATTTACTGGCTGCCCTGATTTTATTTACAGTACCTTCTATCTGCAACTGCATAGCATCACCCTAAACACGGACTACAGTACTCAGTAATTGTTATATAATTTGTTATATATATAGTTGATATCAGCTAAGGAAAATGATGAACTCCAAGAATTGAATTCATCTGAACCATTCCTAAATGTTCTCCAAGATAGTGGATTGGTAACCTTACCGAATGTATGTACAGTTCTACCCCATACTGCGAAATGCCTACTGCAGCATATGCACTCTGAAAAATCAATTTTGTTTAGGGAGTGGTCATCATTTATGGGGGGGGGGGAGGTAAATTTTCCAACCCCCCTTTGATGGAAATAAATAGTACATACAATGACTGCTCCCTTAATTGTGACCGCTCCCTTAATTGCATTTTATCCTCGCTTGTGACATGCCTTACTGTGTCACTGAACTTTCAAGCCTAACAGTCTGTAATATTTTGAAATTACAAATTAAACATTTGCTTTCTCACCTCTAGGTTGACAACAGCATTGCCATTGCTGAAGCCATGGTGTCCTATCATGTGCTTGTGAAGAGAGCTGTCATGCTAGACAATTTTGCAAAGGGTCTCCAGACGCTAGGAATCCTTGAAGAAATTAGGAAAAACCCTAGCCAGTTTGAGGAAGTTTTCCTACACAATGAGAATGCTGTGAGCGCATCTGCTGTGTTGCAAAGTATTGTCTTCAAGCCGGAAGATGCCACAATGTACGCAATGCTAGCAAGTTTTATAAACGATGCTAGTGAACAGGGTATGTAACTGCAGTTTGCATTACGTATGACTTAGGTGATAATGAGGCAAGGTGCGCCCTACTATGCTTCCCTAAAAATATTTCCAGGGTGCCTAATATGCTACTAAATGTTTCTAATATTAACTAAGACGTTGGTACTTTAATCATACTTTCAAACATCATTAATAATTCATAAGCTTATTGGCAAATCATGTCAACTATAATATGTCACGTGCAGTGGCTTTAAACCTGATAAAATACTCCTAATTAGTATTCTTTATATAAAGACTACTAATAAGGCAGTATCTATTGTAGTTGTGTCCTCATTAGTATTCTTTACATAAAGAATACTAATAAGGCAGTATATCTATTGAATTTGTAGTCGTTTAATAAACTCGCAGGTCGTGTTTTATTAGGTATAAAGCCACGAGCGCGCATTGAACCTAATAAAACACTCCTGCTCGTTTATTAAACAGTACGTAGTTGATTTAATACTAACTATGAGTTAATGGACCAATCCCCTATTAAATAGCCTGTGTACAGCTGTTACTGAATTAATGAATTTTCCTAGTCCCAGTTCAAAATGTAGTTTAATAGGGGATTGGTCCCATTAATGCAAGTTTTTACAGTTCCGAAGAGGCAGACGCATTTTAATATAATTTTATATATTTTTAGAATTGGAAAGCTTGTTAAAATTCATTACTGGCATCAGCTCAGTGCCATTTGTACGTGTTGCTTTGGAGGTCAATTCGACATCGACATCGATATTTGCCTCTACATGCTTAATGAAGCTATGTCTGCCTGCGATGCTAGGGACTCTTGACCAAGAGTCGTTTAACTCGAGCATGTCTGCAGCAATTCGGCAAGAAGGAAAAGAATTCACTTCGTGCTGATTTTCGTAACCCTCTTTCTTGAATCCAGATGCAACATGTTATTTATACAATCACTTGGGTGCAAATGTGCAATCTATTTCCAGTCAATTGTCATATGCAGTCATAGAGTTTATAATTGCTTTTTATTGTTATAGTTTTGTTGGCAGGGAAAGACCATTATGTCTATAAGCACGTTGTGTTTTAAATTATTACATTTTATATTGTTTGCTCATGTCAAGTGTTAAGCCGGTTTTCCACTTGCAATTTTTTCGCGCGAAGCGAATTTTTCTTTTGTCTTTTTCCAATTAGTTCCGCATGGTTCCAGTTGAGAGACCAAAGACACATGAAAAATTCGCTTCGCACGAAAAAATTCGCAAGTGGAAAACCGGCATTAGAGATGGTCTCTTATTGGCATACTTTCGTAATCGCTCAATCCAGGCATTTTTAATAAGTGTTTTTTGCAATCTTTGTGTCATTGTGAACCAAAAGTGTGTCCTTGTAAATCAAAATAAGTGTCCTTGAGGATAAGAAAGAAGTGAGGAAAATGTTTACATGTATGATCTAGTGACCATATTAGAGATCATTAAATATGTCTTTCTTGAATGTTTTCAAAATTGAACAAAGTCTTACCTGGAGGGGGGGGGGCGGAGTATCTCACGCCGAAGGGCGTTCGCCCCTCGAAAAACGTGACCCCGGCTTATATGC